TTTAAAGTTTGTAGCTCAAGTGATTGTTGGAAAAATGGCTGTTAATCACAAAAGGAGGTTCAATTCATTGCATTAACAGCAGTGTAAAGCAGTCTTTAATAACTGAAAATTTAGTTTTAATTTTTTATTTTCCAACATGCATTTAGATATGTAATTTGCACAGTTTGCAAGCAAATGAACATAACTTTTTTGTTTCGCGTAGATTTATTTAACCACATAAAACCACTTTAACTGTAGTCACAAACAATGGAGATCTGTGTCAGTAAATCTGGGGCCATTTCTTTAACACACACTGAGATTAAACTGAATAATTAATATTTTAATATAGCAGAGGATAAAAACATTTTGTTTCACTTTAAAAGCCAAGTGAAAATAAGGTCAGACTGACATTGTCTTGATGTTTTAAATGTCGAGATTTTTGTGGCGCCATTAGACGTGATAGGTTCTTGTTTTGACATAGATTAAGGAATATTTGAAAAGACTACTAGTGGAGACGAGATTCTAACACACTCTCAAATATTTGTCTACCAATGAAAATCGATCTGTCCTTTCTATTGAATTAATCAGTATAGATTGTGTGGATGTCAATAGAAACATGAAGATAGGTTAAGTCAAATAGAAATTGAGATTAACAGGACTAAAGTTGTTGACACCATGTAACTTTAAGATTTGATTCAGTTGATAGGATACTATAGATAACTAATACTGGCTAACTAAGTGACTCTGACTCTTTTAAGATAAAACTGTAATCAAAATTGTCAGTTTTTCACCATTAGATATTTCAGTTTTTTGCCATTATATATATGTCAGTTTTTCACCATTAGATATATGTCCGTTTTTCACCATTAGAACTAAGTCAGTTTTTCACCATTAGATATAAGTCAGTTTTTCACCATTAGATATAAGTCAATTTTCACCATTAGATATACGTCAGTTTTTCACCATTAGAACTCACCATTAGAACTAAGTCAGTTTTTCACCATTAGATATAAGTCAGTTTTTCACCATTAGATATACGTCAGTTTTCACTATTAGAACTAAGTCAGTTTTTCACAATTAGAACTAAGTCAGTTTTTCACCATTAGATTTAAGTCAGTTTTCACCATTAGATACAAGTCAGTTTTTCAACATTAGATATGTCAGTTTTTTTTCATTAGAAGATTGCATTCAAATTTATCGTTTTTTCACAAATAGAACAAACTTACCAGTAAAGTATGCTTAATCTCTAATTGTATTACATAATGAAGGAGTCTTGGATTACTGAATCTCCTATATTACACACATACACACACAAACTATCAAAACATGTCCATTAAACATTTATATTACTTCTTCACATTATTATTGTCAATCTTGGGTCAAAAGAAACCATGTGATAGTTTTTTATGGTTGAGGGTACAAGTAGTCAGAAATATTTGAAAATAAACCCTCAAAATGGATTCGCAATCATTAGTAAATAGATGAATTTAGTGTATAGTAATATAGCGATTTATAACATAAAACCTGATACTTTCATTTGCTTCTAAATAATTATGAAAGTTAAATCAAAGTTATTGATCAGACAAAAACAAGAATTGGTGTGACCGTCTGCTTATCAAACTTTTTTTATCTAGATTGAACTCTGCAGCAGATGTCATGTACTTATGATATCAAGATTTCAAATATTGTTTTTCATAATAATATAATGTGAAATTAAAAATACACTAAGGTTGACTTCATTTTGATTTGACAAATGATATGGCTGTAAAAAAAATATGAAAAGGTTGTTAGGTCAGATATATCTAGCAAATATAATTTCAGATTTGACTGTGTTGGCTTGAACTGATAGATATGAGGCTAGCGAAATGTTGTATTTGACATGTACAAGCCATAATTTAAAGAATACTAACATTTTTATAGTAAAACTTGGTGAAATATCAGAATTTGTGAAAAGTTTTCTTTTAACAACACCTGGTTTTCACATCAAACCACAATCTATGTAATAGCTCATGAATGCCATCAATATCAAAGGGACTGTCTGAAAAGGATTTTTAATTTTTTAAATGTCTGATATGATACTGCATGTCAGAGAGTTTTTTGGACAAAGAAAGTCACAGCAAAAAATGTTGTCAGAATGTGTGCATGAATGCAACAGTAGCAATTATAGTTCAGAGTTCCAAATACCGGTACAGTTCAAAGTCTCAATCATAGTTCTGTCTTCATTCAAATTTCAGAGTCCTAATTATAGTTCAGAGTTTTAATCAGTTCTAATCTTAGTTCAGAGTTTTAATCTTAGTTCAGAGTAGCAATCATAGTTTATAGCTGCAATCACAGTTCAGAGTTGCAATCACAGTTCATAGTTGCAATCACACTTCATAGTTGCAATCACACTTCATAGTTGCAATCTTAGTTCAGAGTTGCAATCATAGTTCAGAGTTGCAATCATAGTTCAGAGTTGCAATCTCAGTTCAGATTTGCAATCACAGTTCAATGTTACAATCACAGTTCAATGTTACAATCATGGTTCAGAGTTCCAATTGCAGTTCAGAATTCCAATCATAGTTCAGAATTGCTATCACAGTTCACAGTTTGGAATGTTTCATTCATAGTTCAGAGTAACATCAGTCAATTGCAAGGCCTATCTAGTTGCAAAAAGTTCAGGCTAATGTATAAAAAATCAAATATTGCTGATATACAAAATGAAACAAACAAAGTCTGGAAATATGTAAATCGCTTGTCAAAATGGAATGAAAACTTATATGGAAAATTGGGGAAAATGTCACTCCACATTTGTTTTGTTTGTCCCAAAGATGAAACTACTAGTATATAAATAATTTCTAACGATGGTCATCACTTATTAACAAGTTTTATAATGAAATGTTCTAGACATATACTTGTTAATGTTATTAATGTTGAGGGAATTCCATGATATCTGTATATAAATGGTGTGAATATTTCAACAATGATATTGAAATATTTGTGGTGAATATTAGCAATGTTAATGATGGTAGAAGGATAAGATTGACAAGTTGTTGAATAAAGTCATTATTTATTCATAACTAGGTGTTGAAATGAACATCCTTTTGCCTGGTGTTGGCTAGTTGTTAATTAATCTCTGGAGATCACTCTTCCCTATAGCCAATAATACTTTCAACACTTGATATATTATACTTGTTCTTTTATTGATTTTATATCTTTTACTTTCTTAATCTTCCTTTAAATGTGTAATGTGCACGTTTTCTTCTTCACATTGTGCTGCCACAGTTTCACACTTATTACATAGCTATAATATTATATTACATAGAGACTACAGTAGATAGCTATAAACAGAAAACTTTATGAATATAAAGAAAGTCAACTCTCTCTAGAATTTGTCTGTTTATTGGCATTATCACTCTTTATTTTATTATATCAAAGCCAGTACTCTAATTGTGTGTATTTAAAGAGCCCGTTACTAAAAAAAAAATCTGGGAGAAACAGGGTTCAAATTTCCAGTTCCACTTTAAAGGAGAATTATTGCTTATTTTTAATATATGTCTTCTTGCCAAGATGAAAAGAAATTTCATGCTCTAAAACACTTACCCAGTTAACTTAGGCTCATGGAATCGAGGACTAGTCTAATATTTGATTATTGTCCCTTTAAAACAGAAAGTAAAACCTTGCTTATATCTATTTGGTGTGCGTTATGTTCAGACTGGTATGCTACATTCCCTTTGATTTTTCCAAAGTCTTTGATTATAAGACATATATCACTCAGATTACTGGAAGTTGCTTCACTTAAGAAGGTGCTGGAGGCCCTGAAGGCAGTTGTCTTCATTTGTTACTTAACTAGCTGAGCCAAACTAATCTAGACTAGACTTTCTCATGGTGCAGTTATTATCATGACTAGAATACTGTCTAATTTGACATTTTAATTGAATTGTGGGTACTTTTGATTTTGAATTTGAAAAGTTGAATGTCAAGTGTATCTTTATATGAAACATACAATTTGGGTAAGAATAAAGGCACAACAAGTAAAAGTACCTCTTAATAAAAGCTGTTACTGTATGAAGGATTTTGGCTGCCAAAACGATTCACTATGTTATCAATAAAAAACATGGGTAGTAATTGATGAATATTCAGTGTGTACAGTACTTATAAACATGTCAATTCATTAATTGAAAGTTTCAACAACTTATCAAGTCAAGTGGAAACATTTGAAACCAGTGAATAAATATCTAAACTGGTTACAGGCCAGTGAGTCTGAATTAATAATCACTCCATCCTGTGGTTATGGGATTTATAGAACTAGATAAACTGGTCATTTTATTCTGCACATACTGGATTGATTTGAGCAGATACATGATAAACTTAAAGAAAGATATCCATGATTCACTTATATGAATTTCTCAAACAAAGTTGTCCGAATCCCATTGATTTTACAAGTAACTGTTTACTTCATTTAAAAAGCATAATAATAAAATGATATGGCCTTCAAGATGAAGTGAAAAGACTCAGTTTTCATCAGATTTTAAAGAGACTGAATGGGCTTTGTATGAATTTGAGATGTATGTTGAATTGGATTTTATATTTTGAAAAGTAAAGCGCTCTTATACTATCATTGAATGCAAATTGCATTTGTTTACTTTTCAAAAAATATTTGTCCAATTATTGGATTTTCGATTGTGAAAAACAAAAATCCAATTTTTATATGCTCACATGAAATGTTAATGTCATCCAATGTTTGTTGATTTGTGTAGATGTGTATGACTTTAGGTTAAATATTTGATGGTTGCCATTTTTTTTTTATTTAAACAAAAATTCCAGTGGGTGTATGTTACCTGACGAAGTTCAATCAAAATATATCACATGCAATCGCTCACCAAAGATAACTTCACAATTGTCACTTAAAATTTCAAAATTCTACAAAGATTTTAAGTTCTCTTTTTAACACTTTTCCATTAGAGCTGGATTGATATAAATGTCTAGAATTCTCTAGTGATTTAAAATTCTCATATAATCATTATCTTCTTCTATTTCAGGCTACCAATTTACATAAGTTTAAAGTTCATTCCTATGGCAGTCCGACATTTTGTGACCATTGTGGTTCATTATTATATGGTCTGTTACATCAAGGTCTTAAATGTGATGGTCAGTAATTTTAATATAGAGGTCATCATAATGATTATATACCAGACATTTCAGCATGTAATTTCATTTTTCGTGAGGCCACATTCCGTCTATCAGCTTTAGACAATAGCTAAAATATTCCCTAGCCCCTAAGACAATAATTATTTTGTTTAAATCTCTCGGTTTTTTAAGTTCAAAATCCCATATAATATGATAAGATATTTTATTATTTAAGTAAACTCTGCTCTTGAGCTTTGCCAAAAAAACAATCTACAATTTTCACTGCTTAAATGCAGTATTTTTTCAGAAGTTAAAATATTCAAAATCAGAGAATATTTGAGCAATAAAATTTGTTGAGAATATTCATATATCAAAAGTAACAAAGAATAAAACATGTTCTATATTAATGTCCTTTATGTTGAAAACATTATTCTTTTATTGCTTAAATAGTTTCCTGGCATTTTAGAAAGAACAAACTCTGATTTACTGGGATATTTCTATTGTCAGGAATTACTGGAGTTCCACTGATGTAGGTTACATACAGACATTATAAGCTGTGTAAAAATGTTACTATAATAAGCTGTGGAATTATTGAGCTAAAAATGGCTAGAAAAGATCTTAAGTCTGTCCAATCACACATAAAAGAACAAAAGCAATGTTTTATATCAAAGTTGTTGTCATATTAATTCTCTCTAGATATAAAATACCAAGAGGATTCTGCTTAAAGCACTGATTCTCTTTTATCATATTATTCTTCTTAACTAATGTTCTTACAAATACTGTATTATAATATAAAACTCTACCATCATGATGTAAAAATCTATATAAATAATTTTAACACTGGAGCACAACATCTGTGCATTTGCAAAGTACCTTGACAGTTGAAAAAAATTATTCATTTTTCGATGCCCAAATAGTCTAGAACAATATTCCTCTCAAAATTGTTTTTTTGTGTGCCCAAATGGGTATGAATAATCTTTAAAAGACTATACACAATTGCAATGGTATTATTTTGATTTGAGTAAGAGAACATATGGAAATATAGAAGAATACTATATATTGTGTCTTGATTAGTTGTAAATCAATTTGAAGTTCATTAAAAATACAGTAGGTCAAGATAATTACTACTTCATTATAAATGTTAAAATAAATCAATTGCAGGAAGGCATCAGGTGGTCTTTAAGGAACACAATTTAGGTACAGTTCATGTCATGATAGTTATTAAGGTGTTTTTTAACACAACTATTACTAAAATGAAAATTGAAAGGGAAGTGCAAGGTTATTTTTACAATCAGTTATCAGTATATGTAGCATTTAACTAGGGTTTCCCTTCAGTCCATTAGAACTATTTTATAGATATTTGTAAAAGGAATGGCGTAAAGAAAATATTAATTTTTTTAGTAATACACATTAAGTTAATGCAATTAGAATCAATATGTTCAACTAGCCAGCAGAATTTGACAAGATAGTAGTGAGCAACCATTATGACCATTGTGTATTGTATAAGTTCTAAAAGTGTGCAAATTATTTGCTCAATATATTCTTTAATTTCCAAAATGCATTCCCATATGATTGCAAACAGTTCATTTCAATTGAAATGTGGCTGAATCACACTTGATCATAGTAGAATCAGTGATATGGCTGAATTTAATTTTGAGCATCTTAAGCAAAAAAACAATCAATGGAATTACAAAATGCATATACTTTCATTTGTGATTATTAGCATGAATATATTTCGTTTCCAAAATGAAACATTTTCTGTGGTCAGAAAGAAATGAAATTAAACAGAATGTATTTCACTGATCTTGTGTTTTTTGTTAATAATGAAGTCAATATGTATTGAAATTGCTTTCTATATTTCAGCCTGTGATATGAATGTTCATAAAAGATGTGAAAAACATGTGCCAAAATTATGTGGTATTGATTTTACTGAACGTAGAGGACGTATATATCTGATTATTAAACCTCAAGGAAATAAATTAGTTGTTGAGGGTGGGTGTTTATTGTTTATATGATAAATGAATAGAGTATACAAAAGTCCCAAAATCCTTGATAAAACTTGCAAACTTTCTTCTTGTGTCTAATTAATTTTGGACTTTTCAGACATTTTTTATTTCTGGAGAATAATTTGGATACAGGGGTATTACTACGACTTTACTGATTGTTTCAGCTTTATAATAGGAAAGATAAGAGTTTTAGAAGGATTTAGTTCATTGAGGATTTGTTTCATTGATGCTTTTGCTGGTTTGTTAACCAATCAGACCAGATTCCATTTACCTCTAATCTTTTTGGTCTCCAGCAGTTAAGGAATTCTCAATACCCAAGAAGTGACCTTACTACTCTAGTGAATTCTTTAATTTGTATGCTTAATGAGAATTTTAAATGAGAATGTTCTAAATCTCAAAGTTGACTCTCCACCAACGTAGAGTATGATTATTTCCTATCTTCTAACATACAGGTTGGTGATTGTTGTAAGGTTTGATATTCAAGATATTGATATCAACTGTCTACATATTCACTCTCGATTCCTGAGGGATCTGTCACTTTCTTCTCAAGTTAATCAAGAATCGAGAAATATAATATACTTATTTATATATGTATCTCTTGTGAATTCTAGTTCGAGAGGGCAAGAATCTTTGTCCAATGGACCCTAATGGTTTAGCAGATCCATACTGTAAAATTAAGTTAGTTCCAGATGATTCTCATAAATCTAAAAGAAAAACCAAAACCATTAAAGCCAGTTTAAATCCATGTTGGCAAGAAACCTTTACCTTGTAAGTTCTTTAAATGTTCTGCAATTAGATACAGGGATATTTAATATTATTTTTGGTTATATAAAAAGTTTGTATAGAGATATAGAGTTGACTGGTAAACAATTTATATAGTACAGGGTTCAATTTAAGCAGCATCGCAATTTGTGAGTCAAAATGACCCCTTTTAGATCCAATATTTACTATGATTAGCCAAAATTAAAATCTATTACAATGATCTGTGAATTAAATCAAGTTTTATATTATTCATGAGAATTTTATGTCAAGCTAGAAATATACAGAAACTCTCAGCGATCTCTAAAACCTTACAGAACTAATGTCAATGACAAGATTGATCTGAAGTCTACAACACTTAAGATAAGTTTATCTATTGCTCTGTGACCTAGGCCAGTGCTTTCATTGAGACTTACCTTAATTAGTGCTGGGTATCGATTAACAATTTGAGATTGATTATCGATGGCAGACTAAAGATCAATAAGCGATTAACAATCGACCGTCTAATTAAAATCAGATCTAACTTCCGTTCTTATTTTATTAGTTTCATTTCGAATGTTTTATTAGCTATAAGCTTTGTACGTAACCACTGAAATCGCTTACGTACAAAGCTGATAGCTAATAAAACATTCGAAACGAAGCTAATAAAATACAAACGGAATATAGGCCTAATTTTAATTAGACTGAATAATCGAAATACACCATTAACAGTTGGAATTGCTTTTTATACGCCCACATCTCTCTATGTGGACGTATATTGTCGGCTCGTCTGTCTGTCAACATTTGCTTGTAAACGCTCTAAAAACTAGATTTTTTGATGGAATCAAATGAAATTTGGTATGTGTATACATATTCATAAAATGAAGATCAAGTTTTCAAATCTTTAATATGCTATTCCTCTCTTAGTTTTCAACCGATTTTGATTTAACTTAAAATGGATGTTTTGTTTTTACAATCCGCATGGCGTGGTGGGCCTATATGCTGTGGTCCACTATCTTTAGTATTTAAAATGCAAATGAAATTTAACTTGATTAGTCAAAACTAAAATTTGGTGTGAAAGATTGTTGATCAAATTTCACTAGAACTTTTCAGTAAATATTATTGATAACATAGGAACATTAATATCCTAGGAACAGCCTGTCAGTGTACTATAACTAATATTACTTAGTCTAATGATATAAAATGATATTTCTTTCTCAAGAGACTGGAACCAGACTAATCAAACTGCATGCCAAATGCTCATTAATGATTTCATACATATTTGATTTGAACAATGATCAGATAGATTTACATATTTAATTTATAATTTATACGTACATGTCATCTTCACAATGTCAATCTTTTGTGAACTGTGTCTAATACCTTGACTACAAATAGCTTACTTTCTTGTATCATGGATGTTTGTAAATGGAGAGATTTGTACCGCACACAGCCAATCAGAGCCCACAACAGTAAATTTTTGAAGTCAAGGTATTAAATGCAAATCGTAATAGCTTGACATTGTGAAAAAGAAGTATATTATATGTACTGCAACTGTATATTTATTTTCTCCCATTCTCTAGTGATTTGTCCCCTGAAGATCACTCAAAGAGAATCTCGTTTGAGGTTTGGGATTGGGACAGAACGTCGCGGAATGATTTTATGGGATCATTATCATTTGGAGTATCAGAAGTAATCAAAAACCCAGTAGATGGCTGGTTTAAATTGCTCAATCAAGAAGAAGGAGAATTCTATGGAATACCTGTTACAGATGAAGTTACTCCTACCATTCAAGAGCTCAGAAGTAGAATGCAGGTAAACAAGTCAGCTGCTGAGTAGAACTAAACTATAATCTATAAAATTAACCCCCAATTGAAAATTGTATTTTATAATGCATGATTAAAAGTTTTGAACTCGCAAAAATGTTAACCAATTCTGAGACCATATTTTGAAATATTTATATCATAGTCTAGAAGAAGAGTTAAAATTGATGAAAGAATTTAACCTGATAGTCATCAAGAAATGATTGCTGCTGCTATTATTGTTATTGACGAATGTAAAATATACTCTACTCTGGCAGCAAGAGCTTGAAGATTGCGTTTAGTTTTTGAAAAAATTGTTTAGCTGTATACTTTCAATGAATAAAATAAGTTTTGTTTTTGACCAACAATTTTTGACTGCTCTCTTTTGTAGAAAACAGATATTCAAGAACGAAAAATACAGCCACCAGATAATGCACAAAATATATCAAAACAAGATATAGTTAGAGCTAGTGATTTTAATTTTCTCACTGTTTTAGGAAAAGGTAGTTTTGGAAAGGTGAGTGTTTGACATTAATTATCTAATGCTCACATAATGAAAATAAAATGGAACCACAATATCTGCTGAATTATTGATCACCATTCTCATGTAGCAGTAAATTAAAAGTGGATTTCAATTAATATATAGAGAGTTGATGTCAACATAAGTGTTTCTTCTCTCAACTGACATTCCAGAATCAATTGTAATTTTATCTATAGAATTTATGCTGCTTTTTAAATCACCTTCACTTCAAATACTCTTGATAACAATATTTCATGCATACTTTATGACTATTCTTACATGCTATATGATCTACCCTTCCAAACACACCATCTGTCTTATCATGCTTTATGATCTATACTTTAAGATATATCCTAAATCTTTCCATTTAAACTCTACCCCTCCATGTATCTAGATCTGTTGGTACATCCTTTATGAGCTATTTTTACATCTTTTGTGTCTTTAGGTATTTTGCTAACTTTTTAATGGTTTATCCTTCTAACTATTTACTATTCACCATTTAATTATGCTCTATCTTTCTTTCTTTATAATCTGGCTCTCACAAATAAATTCAGTTTATCACATGTTGATATGTTATAATTATATTAAAATTCAGATATTTTCAGCTATATCAGCTGTTTTACCAAAAGTTTGTTTTGGATTTCGGGTTTTGGTTGGTCTTGTCTTCTAATCTGACCTTACAATCTTACATGCTTTCTGGTCTATCCTTGCTAGTCTATCCTTGCTATCTATAAGACTTATCCTTACCTTACATTTTAATGTTCTTTATTACTACTTTTCCAACTTCTATTAAATATATGATCTATCTTGTTCTATTTATCAATTATTCACTCTCTGTAAGCAATCTATCATACATAGTTTTAAAACATGACAAGGTTCAAGAGCTTACCAATTGTAAGTTTTTCACATGTTTCTTGAAAATTGATTTAACAATCAGTATTTGATATGATGTTAAATAAATAAAGCTTTAGGGTAGAAATGATTAATTGAAAATTATAAATAGCCATTAAAGTCTCTAAAGTGAGGTTGTATGTTTTATTGATTGCTTACAGCTTAATTTTCATTCCACTTCTCATGATTGAAATATTAAAAAAGTCTACCTGTATGTATTGAAAAGAGAGATGGATATAGAATTGTCATATTATAGACTTAGTCCACAATGTCAATACTAAAAGAGAATATGATCAAACCATATAGCAGCTAGCAATGTGTTTAATTAATTATTTGAACTGGTTATCGATAAGAATTGATGTGAAATGATGTTAACATGAAATTCATATTAAAGATATTTTTGATAATAAAATGGTTATTGATTAGTAGAACATGCCTGTATAAACATTTAACATAAGATTATATCAGTCAATATTGTGAACAAGGCTATACTGTATAAACAATTCATAAATCACTCTTCAATCAAATGTCACTTGAGGTTACTGCAGTGTATCTGTATTTCTTCTTTCCATTTTTTCTGCTCATGGTGTTCTGTTTATTGATAATAGCATTGATTTTCACCATTCTAATTTTCAGTCAGATGTCTGTGCTTCATGCAATTCCACTTAACTATGCATTGTATGATGTCACTATCACCAAGGTCCTTAAATACCAATAACAGCTTTTGTGGTACTGACATTATACATTACTTTTAGTGGAATTGCAAGAACCACGGACCTCTGACTGAAAATTGGAATGGTGCAAATGTGCCCAAAACACCAAAGTTTAGAAAACCTCTTTACAATCCCTTTTAGCATCCCCCATTTGACAAAAAACTTCTGGATGCAAATTCCAGCAGAAAATTCTGCTTTGAAATATAGAAAGATGAGTAAACAAAGTGTATATAAGATGTGTGTCACTTGATAAAAAATTCAAACCATTGCTGATCAAAATAAACCACTCTTTTATTTTAATATCTGAAATTTGGTACTTGTATATCATTTAAGGTGGTACTTGCTGAAAGAAAAGGTACTGATGAACTTTATGCAATCAAGATATTGAAGAAAGATGTTATTATACAAGATGATGATGTGGAATGTACTATGATAGAAAAACGGGTTTTAGCTCTAGCTAATAAACCACCATTCCTTGTCCAATTACATTCATGTTTTCAAACCATGGTAAGACTTGTTCGTTAATTACTCTTTTCAAACAGAAAACTTCTCTTAAAGGCCATGGTTCACCATTTTCAAAGGTCAATCATTTCTTCAAAGGTATGGGGATTGTTCAGCTAAGCTTATCAGTATTAGTTATCACAGTTTAACGTGTAAATTTTAGCATTGATGACAAACGGTAAATGACTGGATAATCAAAAATATACTATACACTGTATTTCCTATTATAAACTTTTTCAACAAGATGAACATTTTTTCAGGGACCATAACTTTCAGGGACCCTAATAAACTTGTGCTTGCAGCTTATGTAGGCAGTTGTATAATATCTATATGTACTAATACATATATTTTCTACTTTTAGGATCGTTTATATTTTGTAATGGAATATGTGAATGGTGGAGATTTAATGTATAGAATTCAACAAGAAGGAAAATTTAAAGAACCAATAGCTGCGTAAGTTTAGTCATTTAGAAAAAGAAAAGAATAATCTTGAGTGTGCCATTATCTCTATTCTAGAATCTATGTGTCAGTGTTTGTAAAAAAGAGTTACGAAACTTTTTATGTACCCACCTCACCCTTAACTGAGGCTGGCCCAGCTTTGGCCCCCACTTTCAAATTTTATAGAGAAAAAATTTGCCTTTGAGTTCCCCTTGACCACTCTGTTTTGCCCCATGCCTAATGATTCTTTAAGCATAAAATTTTGAATATGCTTATCCAGTTGTCATCTAGAAATAATAGTAATCTGTATATGAGAATTCACAACAATTAACTCTTAAAAACATAAATAGAACTAGTATCATACTAACAGATAGAAATGATGCCATTTCATTCTACTAATCAATACTCCTATAGAATAATCAATATTTTTTATATCCTACAGATTTTATGCTGCAGAAATTGCTATTGGATTATTTTATTTACATTCACAAGGAATAGTTTATAGGTAAGGACTTATCAGACATGAATGTCAAGTTGATGACATTACAATGTTTATGAAACAAGCTTTTCAATTGATGTTTTCTGTAACAGCATTTTTAATAGTTTTGAAATATTGATCAAAGAATGAGGAATCATTTAATTATCATGCTTATCAAGCTTTCTCAAACTGTAACATAATCTTGTGCAGAATTATTTGAATCATTCTTCCATCTAGTCCTTGGCCAAACCTCGTGAACCCATGCTCACTATTTGCTTCACAACTGCACTCCAATACACTAGCTGACTGTCCTGAGACTTTCCTTATTATGTAGCTCAGTGTGTAGTTTGTCTGCTTGTTCTTTTTGGTTTTATATGAAAATTGTCTCCAAAATTCAAATGTTGAAGAACAACTTGATTTGTTGCTAGATGATCTCCAGTAAATTTTGATGTTGTAAGTTTCCTAACTAAATAGTTGTTATATATTACAGAGATTTAAAGTTAGATAATGTTATGTTAGATAGTGAAGGCCATATTAAAATAGCTGATTTTGGTATGTGTAAAGAAGGAATGTTTGGTGAAAAATTAACACGAACGTTTTGTGGTACTCCAGATTACATCGCTCCAGAGGTAAAGGAATCATACTCAACAACAACAAATTCCTTTCTAAAGTATTAGAATCGTTCATATACTCTATAACACTTGATGATTTAAAAAATGGTATATTTCTACCACAATTCTGGCAAATTTCTGTCATTGCCGACTACTTTGAAAGGGAACAATTTATGATAAAACCTGGTAAGTTTTAGTTTTGGAGAAGAAATTCTATCTTTTTTTTCAGATTGTTTTATACCAACCATATAGTAAATCAGTTGATTGGTGGGCATATGGTGTATTATTATATGAAATGTTAGCTGGACAGGTATCTATTTTTTAGTTGCAGTGCGTTATTTGAATGACTTTTTTTTTTTCGAATTTTGCCTTCGCTTGTTTTCTAAGAAGGCAACATGCCACAGACTGTCTGTTGTTGTTTTCTGGTCAAAATGTTGGACAATGGCTCTTTTTCAATTTTTTCCATTAATCAGCTTTAATACTCGTCTGACTTTGCTCACACTTTACTGTTTATTACTTCGCGCTACAAGATAGCAATTGAGAAAATCGACAATTTTGACTTTTGTCGCTGACTTTTTGAGTTCCAATTTTTGAGTTTTTTAACCTTTTTTCTAACTTCTACAATTCTATTTCGATCTGAAAACATACAGAGTGATAGACACTTTCATTGCGAACATAAACTAATTTTCAAAATTTGGATATCACTTCCGGTTTTGACGCTATTCGCTTGTAAAATATAAAATTCAACTTCAGGAATTTTAAAGATATTTCGAAATTTTTTTTTGCAATAGGTTACAAATGGCCATACAAAAAAAAACTTCAAATCAAAAAATCCGACCCGGATGTAACAGAGTAGCCGCCATATTAACATGTCAAACTTTTGTAAAATTCAAAATGGGGCCTCAGGGTATAGAGCGTTTTTCATAATTTTGGTATATCTGGATATCACAATCGATTGCGAAAATAAATTTGGAAGCCGATTTTTGAATTTCGATTTTGCTTTTCTTTTATTTCAGGTTTAAATTTTTCGGTAATGTCCAAAATTTCAAAGGCTCCTATTTCGTGACCTTGACCTTTGGTTACCTTGTGGCCTGAACAAAATTTGTTGCTCTTGATGATATCTATCCAGTGATATACTCATTTGTGCTGTGCAATGTTTACTTCCGGTTTTATAGCCGATTGAAAATTACGATTTTTATCTTCAAAGAGCTCTGACACGTGACCTATTTACATACACCAAAAATTCTTATTGAATTTTACTAGTGTTCATCTGCCCTTTGAAATGATATATAACACTAGATATTTCGATCAAAATTGCGCTTTTTAATAGTCGAAAATTTTGTACTTTCTTCTATAGTAACTATGCGTAATTTTCAATATATCGAAATGGGGCCTCAGGGTGTAATCCAATTTGTGTAAATTTGATATCTATGGTATTTACTATCGATTGCTAAATAATATTGAGAACCAAGTTTTGAATTTTGATTTTGCTTTTTATTTATTTTCGGTTGAAAAATATGAATACTTTGAAGGGTCGTATATCGTGACCTTGACCTTTGGTGATCATGTGACCGGAACAATTTGGGCGATCTATATCCAGTTAATTATGATAGGATATTATGTCACTGTTACGATACTTTGCAGCACAGTTTTAAGCGTAAAATCAAAACTGTTACGCATTGCATCAGAACCTCGCGAAGCCTGTGGATCTACTTTTATACTTGTTTCTCGTGCAAAAATAATTTTAGCATTTTATATGACAACTTACAATCCATGTCCACAATAAAATCCATAAGATAGATATGAAATGAGTTATACAGGGTGTTTTAAAATCAGTGATTGACAATTTACAATGTTGTTTGAGAATTAGGGACTTCCAAAATACTATCTCTTACTTTCTATTACAGACTAGGTTGATTCAAATCAATTTCTTTCCTTACAATTGATGTCAAAACATCTCTTGAATTGTTTCAATTTAGAAACACTGCAATCCACTTTACTTAGTTTTCATGAATGTAACATCTTTTGATGCTTATTGAAAAGTGATGACCGAGTTGAATATGGAGATTGATAATTGATCCCATTGAATTCATTTCATTACTTTATGGTGAATTATTTTTCAGCCACCATTTGATGGTGAAGATGAAGAAGAATTATTTACATCTATCACAGATCACAATGTGTCTTATGCTAAATCCATGTCTAAAGAAGCTGTGTCAATATGTAAAGGGGTAAGCTGTTTATGAAAGGGTGTACTTACTGTATCTATATCAGAAGTCTCATCTGTTCCTGATAACTAACTGCTTATTCTGTGAACAAAAAGAAAAACAAGAAACAAAACAACTGGAATTGCATTTTGATTAGTAAACAAAAGTTGTAGGAATGGTACAAAATGGACATCACATCATTTCAATTCATTTCATTATTATGTCAGTATTTTATGTAGTATGTATTTTAATGTATGACTTTTCAGCTGTTAAATAAGAACCCTGCTAAGCGTTTAGGCTGTGGGGCTAATGGTGAAAGAGATATTAAAGATCATGCATTTTTCCGAAGAATTCACTGGATAAATATGGAAACAAAAGATGTTCAACCACCATATAAACCAAAGATTGTAAGTTTATTTTATATTTTCATGAATTGGTAGTAGTTTTTAGAAGCTTAACTAACTAACAATTACAGCCCCCTTGGGGTCTCAAACCATTATTTTTACACTCAGCTGCAATTTAAAAAATTTGAAGCAACTATTACAGGTGTAAAACTGATTTTATCAAAGGTAAAATTATTTATCAATAAACAATGTTTCTGGCATTATGACATTATTATTTAAATTTTACCTTTCCTTGATGTGGGGGTCATTATGAATTTGAGTAAAAGCTAAGCTGAGCATGAAGAATGTTTTGTGGCCCTGGGACCTGGGAAGGTTTGTATAGGCATACAGAAATAATTTCTAATACAGAAGATCTACATTAATATTTTTCCCATTTCTTTGAAATACAAGTAATGGTTGGCCTATTTTTTAAAATTTGTTTTAATTTTTATAAATGATATGATAATTTTTCTTTCCAACATGTTACATTAATTTTAGCCAAATTTTCTTGTTCATTTAATCAAGTTTTGTATAAATATATATATATATGGGAGGATAAATGATATATGATATAAAAGTAAGAGTGGAATAGAGTTTACTGATTCTGTTGTTATTGTAAATTTAATATTCTATTATTGTTGTTCTTATATCTTCTATTTACTCAGGACTTTGTATCTTATATGTTTGTGATTTAAAAGAGTATTAGTCTATCTAAAGCTATACAAAGATTGTTGTTGCAGATATAATACTGTTGTAAAGATTTATTTGCATTTTACTCTTACATTCAAATCTTATGTTGTTTTCTCCCTATCAGTCAGTTTTGGTATTATTTACTGTGAATCATATATAGGCTCTATTTTCTTGGACATTGATATTGAACAATGAATTCTTGATACAGTAGAAATTACAAGTTAGTCCACTTGGTGAAAAGAGTGTTGCCATAATGAATATATAATTGTATGTTTAGGACTTTTTTATGATTCATTAAAGTTCAATTCGCATCATTTGAGCTCGGATATAGGACTGACTTGTAGAAAATTTTTACTTCAAATTAGGGAAATCACAGATATTGCTACAGTCACAAAATATGCCTGATGATAGTATAATATGCTGCTAGGTTGGAGTATATGACCTAGATTTTTTATCCAAGATTATTACTATATTTAGTAGTTATTAGAGTGCATGTTTGCTAGAATGATTTATAGTATAGTTATAGTTATATCATTATTTCATTTATTTATTTATTCATTTATTTACTTTCTTAATACATCATGAACATGTATCTTTTAAAAAATTAAGCATTTACTGCCTTCAATTTTTTTATGGCTGAAAAATTCTAAAATTATATGTAGCTAGCTGTATTTTTGATGTTTTATTTTTCATTTGTTTTTATTTTTCTCTTTTCATTCTGTAGCATGATTCACGGAAAGCTGAGAATTTCGACAAGTATTTTACTCGAGCGCCTGTGAAAATGACACCAATCGACAGTCTGGTGATAATGAATATAGACGATGATGCATTCAGGAACTTTACTTTCGTTAATCCTTATTTCATTGACAATCTTAATTCCTAACTGTTTTTAATTTCTCCTTTTTTAATTTTTCTTGTTTCTTTTTTAAATATTTCTTTCTGTATTTTAATATTGTTTATTGTAATAATTTTTTATATACCCTAAATATAGCATTATTCATATTTTTATTTGCTCAACGAATATGATTAAAATTTATGAATGGATAACGTGATTGATGTATGTCTGTTAGTGTATATCCTTAAAAGTATTAGAACAGCACAATTTGGAATTCTTAATCATTTCATTGAAATATCTCTATTGGCACTTTCTTTAACAAATGTAAAATTCATAATTTCAAGCAAAAGCATTAAAGGGATTTTAAAGAGGTTTCCTAAACCTTTTATGTGTATCAGGAACGCTGATATCCATTTGCACCATTCAAATTTTCAGTTGGACGTCTGTGCCTCTTGCAATTCCACTAATAGTAAGCATTTTATCATTATCGCAAGGTCATTATGATAGTGATGTCATAAAACACATAGTTTTAGTGGAATTGCAAGTGCAAGAACTGCAAATTGATGCTATCAGTGTCCCCTATACACATAACATTTTTAGGAAACCTCTTTATAATCCCTTTAAGGTTGATTATTGCTGTAATGTTTGAGGTTATGAGTATCAAAATTAAAACTAGCCATTCAGAATGGATCAAATTATTAAGGTATTAAAATTGTATTTAACCATTAGATATCATTTTTATCAAATCAAGCAAATATAATAATTTATTTATCTCTTATTATTCCGCTCTATTATTGTATATTTTTATTGTTTAAAGTATAATATTAATTATTGTTCATTAAGTGGAACTGATTAGATTTAACTAATTATATACTGAAATATTTAAATACACTTTCAAAATGTTTCTAATTGTGTTCAGTAGGCCTGATCATTGAGTGTTTTAATTAACAGCATGAAATAAATGGAAGAAAAGTTAAATTCATTTTTTATCAAAATTAATTATTGGAAGAATTTGTTAAGATAAAAAATAGATTTAAATTTTTGAGAAACTTGATTCAGCAAAAAATTCATGATATTGAAAATGAAAAACAAATATAGTTTTATATTTCTTCAAAACAAAGCTTCTTTTAACAATGTTCTAACCTGCAAGCTGCATTATGATTATTTATGATAGTTACATATATTTCTAAAAGCGTTGGGCTCCAGAATCAAAGTGAACAAAAAAATTAGCTTCTTTTGAAAAACACAGCCTGTAGCAACTAGATCTGTTCTGGAAGGCTGAAAATTATTAAGTTTATTTGTGTACCACCGAAAACCGTCTGAAGTCAACATGTCATTTTTACTTATGATGTAACTAGCATTTTGATGTGATTCCTTTTTGTTTTATTTCATTTAATTCTATTTTTGTTACGTTTTTGTTTGTTAATATTTTTCTATTTTCTCTATTCTAATAACATGAATGCATCATGGTTTTTTTATTCTTCTATTTTACATGACATTAACATGACTAAGTTGACCTATTGACATATCAATGATGTCAAAAACTCCTCTTTCAAATTTCTGTGTGAGGTGAATGAGTGATTGGGTTATGATTTGTATGTAGATGTTTATAAAGATAAAGATTAATGTGCCAACTTCATTAAAACCAGATATAGACTAAACATGGTGGTCTACAATATATAGTTTTATTGATATTGTGAAGTTCTTCTATTTCCATTGATGTCAGTTCAGGGAGGAATCGTTTTCCTGATTTCCAGGAATTTCCTGATTTTTATTTGGCTGTAGATTTTTCATAAAGAGTGTAATTTTCAAACTTAACTTTATCTTTTTACATTACTATACATTTTGCACAACACTGCATGACAACTAGGATATGAATAGTTTTGTAAGTTCTGTAAGAAAGTCATAATTTCTGTAAGTCGTAAAGAATTTGAAATTCTTATTAGTGTGTTCTCATGGCGTTATCTTTTAAAATGGCAAGACTATTGAATTACAGATTTTTAAAGTTGTTTTGTTAATTTAAGGTAAATGTTTAAGTATTTTCTTGAAAATATATTTTAGGATTAGCCGAAAAATATATAAAAAAAAAGTCAATCTATCCTTCACTTGCACTTGCCAATAAAGCAATTGATAACCTCACTGCCATTTGGTATAATTTTTTCAGAAAAAACTTTATTAAAATCTTTGTGAATATTGGTAACATTATTTCTAGATCAGGAGACATCAAAACACAAGATTTCAATGATCTAGTCAGATTGGAAACTAATCAAATTATTATGACCCAATTGAAATTTTAAAATTTTGTAGATTTGTATTTGACAGAAGATTTGGTATATTCAATGATAGAAAACCTGTGTTTATAAACATGATATATGTTTGTTGCCTGCCTTTAAGTGTGACTGTGTGAGAGAGTGTGTGTGTGATTAAGAAATGATTTTAAATGACCCAAGTCTTTCAATTACAGACCTGTTCTCAAGTTATGCTCAATGATTTTATGATGATGTTTGTGTGTGTTGTGTGTGCTTCCAGTATTTAATATAAAGTATAAATCCAACAATGTTAACCCATTTCCCATCATGGAGTTAGATAAAGTCATATCTTTGCTTCAAAATAAGGTCAAATTGTGTTTCGTCTTGATAATGATAATTCATCTCCTAATAAGAACTTTCATATCCTGACCCAAAAGTTATTCCAACCAGGTCCATGGTCTCTTTGAGAGTTCCGATTTATTTGGATTAATTACACTTCATGCTATACTTCAAAACCATTCCTCTACATTTCTGTTTTCATTTTGGTGTAAAACAACTTCACAAAACTATTTTTAAGCCTGTATCTTACTGATGTTGATAAACTGAAGTTTACTCATTATATTGATATGGACGCATCTTCTAAATAGTAATGATGTACCCTTTTTGCACTCCACAACTGGATTATTGATTATAACTGAATAGAAAAATTTGATTAAAATCGAAGAAGTTTATTTGCCGGTGTGAAAGCAACTAGAAGTTATTTGAAAATAAAACTTGATAGAACCAATTACTTCTTCAGTGTGAAAGGGGTAGTCTTATTATAACTTTCTCAAGTTTAAGGCTACTTCAAACAATTTTGTTCACACAAATTTTTATCAGGTTATTACAACAAACAAGTTAAGAGACAGATATAATGTTATCTACATATTTATAGATATTTTACAGTTATAATCAGTCTTATTCACCAAACTGGACCTTTGATCTATTCTAGGCTTTCACCTCAAAATCCATACAAATTCAAAAGTTGATTTACTTTTATTCATCCAAATAATTTTATATCACTATCTCAACATATTTTGAATAGCACATCTTTTGAAGAATTGTTTTGGAGGCTTGTAGAGGTACATCAGTGCTAGTCCATTAATGTCACCTGCCATCTGAGATGTGATCTCACCAAAATAATACCCTAATCACTTCTGCCAAATCAGATATGTGATGTAAATTTAAAGTTGGATTGAACCTTGACTGCACCTCTTTCTTGTGTTGAAGCTCTTATTCCACTCTTACTACAGTCATTAATCTAATTCACTTTAACCCATTATGTGTGACGGAATGTAATTGTTGCTGTTTTTGTTTTTTTTTATGTTTTGCATTTTGATAAAAAAAAGTTAAAATAAGAAACACTTGTCAATTTTTATATCTGAAGATATTAGAAAGATCTGCTATTGAAAATAATGACATTTTTAGTTTTTGATCTGACTACTGTAATTTTTACTATTTTGTACTCAAAGGAAAGTTATAAGAAATTCAGTAATTAATTACCTTGAGGTGAAACAAAGAGCTTAATTGAACTTCATTATGAAGAGTGACACCATTTCACATAGCTGGTCAAGCTGTGAACTAGTAATTTTAGCAATCTGTAAATCCTCCTCTGATATGTTTAGACCAACGGTTGCTAGATCATATCTTACATTACTTCAAACAGAGTTTGTTGATAGCATTTTGGCAGTACTTAAAATAAGTACTGTGATTTGTGATCATAGTTATAAAAATCTGAATTGTCATTGTATCAAACTATGTTTTTTAATTTGATTAAAAAAAGCTGTTTATAAAGTCCAGGTTTGTAATAAAACAGTATATAATAAAGAAGTATGATATTGACAGTGTGCTTTTTATTTTGTATCTTGGAATAAAGTGAAAAATTCCTCATTATAAGTAGGTTGTGTGATAAGGTTTAGAGAGATGGGCGTGGGGGGTCGTTAGGGATATTACAGTGACAGAAACAAATGTGCCAAAATAGTTTTAGAAAGATATATAATAGGTATATATTAGACAATTAACAAAATTTTGATTATTAGAGTTGAAAATTTGCACTCATGATTCAATTTTTATTTAGAACTCCTTTCTAGTCTTGATATTGAAGTTTCCCAAACATCTTTTTAGAGCTATCTCTCTGCAACCACATTTTGGTTTATAAAGTTATATGAGAAATGGTAGTTAGATAGTTATTTACTTATATTCATTACTGATTGTGGATACAAAAATTGTAATTGATATTGAAAAAAATCATCAGGAAAATTCAGCAAAATGCAATTAGAGCTAATTTCTCACTAGACAAGCAGAAAAAAAAAAAACAAATTTTAGATTTAAGCATTAAAATATTTGTCTACCTTTTAATATAACTGTATCCAAAAAATGTAGGCTTGAAATATTGCTCCATATTTCAGATTGTGAATCTAAGATTGGTATTTAAAATCTATAAATCCAACCCTCTAGTCCCCCTTTTAAGATACCTCCCATTTTAATTTAATTTTACACATTATTTAGTATTTTTGCATTATTTGCCTCATATATCATTTTTTTTGTTATTTCAGAAAAGTCGAAAGGATGTTAGTAATTTTGATCGTGAATTCACATCAGAAGCACCTAAAATGACCCCAACAGATAAATTATTTATAATGAATCTTGATCAGACAGAATTTTCCGGATTTTCTTATGTTAATCCAGAATTTGTAGTAACAGTGTAAATGGAACCATCATTTTTAAGTGCTCTTTTTTATTGCTCTGTGTTCTTTATTACAGCATTTCATTTTACATTACTAGATCTATTTCAATATTCACTTGTTAACAGAAATAATGTAAATACTTGAATAAACCCATATTGTATTCAACTTCAATATTATAATATAGTAATGCTTATTTTCTATTATTAATATCTTGATCCAATTTGAAATTTATCAGCTTTATTGATATCTTGATTATATTACTTCATTTAGCTTTATTAACTTGTTACATCTATATTCATTTTTATTGCTCTAATTCTTTTTTCATTATATACGTCATTTGTTAATATTATTATTATTATTATTGTTGTTCTTTAATCAGTTAACCAATCTGGTTCATCCATTAAATGGTTGTTCTTTTACTACTTTGTTGTCTTTTTATCAGATCAGGGGTCAGTTCAAAAAATGAACCATTTAGAAAACTCAGTCAATAGCAAGTGGGTAAAGAGCGGGCTGAGGTTTTTAAACTTGGTCATCATTTACCTTCTGTAACAATCTGCAAGTGTTTGAAAAATTAGCAAATGTGTTATATTTCATGTTATGTGTTTGAAGCAATACAAGGTTTTTCCAGAATTTTAGCTAAAATGAAATTGATGAAGTTAAAACAACCACAATAGAAAATCTGTTGCTGCTCAAGTGTCGTTCAAATCCCATTCAGAATTCAGTTAAGAAGCCTTATTTAGGGCTGAAATGCTACATCTCATTTTTATCATTTTAGACATTGATCCAAGAAATCCTCGTAAAATGCTTAGCGATTATAATAAGCGAGGTGTTTTTAAATTTTTCAATTTCTATAAATAAAGTTTGAGTCGCTCCATACCACCACACACCAATGGGAAGATTTAAATGGCTTATGCAGACTATTGGCTCAGACAGACTTTCATTTGGTTTGGGATTAAATGTTTTCAAGAAACAGTTCAAAAGAATTATGGATCAGGTGCTGGAAGGCATGAAGGAGCTACAGCCATAGATAATGGATAATATACTTCATCAATTAGATGTTAAAGGGACAGATGCACCATTTTCTTTTACTAATTACAGTTTAGTCTCAGAAATGGGAATTTTTTATCTAAGCAACTCAGCAATAGTGTTCACAGCTCACTGTCAAAATTTGAACCTTCAAATCTATGTGTATCCAGAATTATCTGCGATTGAATGTTAAATGACTTGAATGTTAAATGACGACTCGCCAATTTAAGATACTCTGTGATTTATAGAAAATACATATATAGAAATAGTGAGTAAAATTCCCAGTTTGAAGTAATTTTAAAGGAATTATGTGATTTTCGTACATTTCTAGTACTTCTGAAGACTATTAACATATATTCAAGACTAAAATCAATCCCTAAAATGGCACCTTTGTCCCTTTAGGCCATGAAAAGAACAATTACTGAATACAACCTTATGTTGATTTGACAAAACTCATCCCAAGCCTCAGTTTAAATAATAGTCATTATGTCATTAGTTCTTAAACCAGAATCAGCCTTCGACCAGTTGAAACAATTCTTTGCAGTCAAACAAACTCAGCTTTTATGATATTGAAAAAAACCAATAGATACTCTCATATAGAAGCAATGGCTTTGGACACGAATAGAGATGCATGTAAATCAATTTGATAAGAACTGAATTACTTGTAGAGAAGTAAAGATAAAAAATTAATTAGAATATACAATAAAATTGCTTCGGGGAGTTGATGTATTTCTTGACGAAGACAGATAGGGCCTACACTCTGGATGGCTGGATTAAAGTGGAGAGTACAAATAAAAGTAAAACCACGGTTCAAACAGAGAAGCCGCAAGGCTTTCGAGATTGTTAAACGTCTGTGGAAGATGTGAAGAAATGAATTTACATTCTTCTTTTCTACACCATGTGGGCTAATGAAGACGGACAACGCCATGCAGGGTGCAACGAGGGAACTTTTGTTAGGACAGCGGCATTAGCATGCTCTTTTTCGATTTCCAAATGTCTACGGATCTTCAACGTGCAGTCTGTAGCACACAGGGCCTCGGTTTATTGTTCCATCCGGACGACAAGATGCTTTTTCTATGTCAGCCCCTCTTACCTGCATCACTGACAGGGGGAAACCAGGTTGAAAAATGCGTAGGTATCACAGGCCCTTGAAGCTCTGTTTATATTAATAAAATGCGGGCAATGTTTATAAAAATAGCGCTGCCATCATAATACGCCCACATTTGTAATGGCAGCTAATTTGTCCTGGAGGTTGACAAATGTTATCAGTAAATGAATGTTTCTGAGAGTGAAATTTTCATATTTCATGAGTTTCGTTTACATCTCACAATTCAAGAACAAGGGCAATAACTCATAGTAAATATTTTTCGATTCGTCTGATTTTCAAAAGGGTTCTTACTTGGGTGATTACAAACACTCACACCAAGTTTCGTCAAAATCCATCAAGAAGCCTGCTCTCTATCGTGTCCACAAACAATTCAAGAACACGGGCAATAACTCATAGTAAATATTTTCGATTCGTCTGATTTTCAATAGGGTTCATCCTTGGGTGATTACAAACACTCATACCGAGTTTCGTCAAAATCCATCAAGAATCCAGCTCTCTATCGTGTCCACAGACAGACAGACAGATCCGCAGGCAGGCAGGCAGGCAGCCACTTGAAATGTGGAGCGTATATTCATGCGTACGTCCACAATTACTCTTAAACACTCGAGAAGGCACAATTCTTGACTGATTTTGACGAAACTTGGTACGATTGTATGTAATCACCCAAGGATGAACCCTATTGAAAATCAGACGAATCGAAAATATTTAGAATGAGCTTTTGCCCTTGTTCTTGAAATGCGTTCAATTTGTAGTTCGTAAACGTTCAAGAAGGTTGAACTATTGACAGATTTTGACGAAACTTGGCATGAGTGTTTTAGCCTGTAAACACTCTAGAAGGCCCAATTCTTGGCAGATTTGTTCGAAACTTGCATACAGTATCGCCCCAAAAAGTTCAAAAGAAGCGTTGAATATTTCATAATGCTAATTGTTACTGTTTTGTTTAAAATCAAAGCTGCCAGTGGACGTATATTACCTTGCCTGGCAAGCTATCTATCTCTATGCGTTGACACTATTTTCTCCACATTGCCTATATTTTATTAATATGAACAGAATTTCAGCGGCCTGTGGTATTATCTGGACCTATGTCGGGATTGAGCAAGCGTCTAACTCACTGAGCCACCGCGTCTTCCAGGAAAGTATAAAAAAAGACAAAGACCTCAGAGCACTCTAAGGAATAAAGAATCACAACTCTTTAATGGTAGAAGACTTTGCACGAAATTTATAAACTTCTCGTATCATCATACAGAACTGTTCGATCGTTGATTTTGAAAAAGTGACAAAGGTAATTCTATCGATAGAGACGATTACATTATAGAATCTGAAGCAAATGTTAAACATTATGCTAATTTGGACAATGCGATTTATCAAGAAACAGCAACTCAAATATCTAATATTCTTTTAAAATTGGTGGAAAGGAACTATATAAATACACTTGAATCCTAGATTGCAAATTAGGCAGCGACTTTTTTGTTCTTTACCCAAAATTCACAAAGATCCATCAACAGAATGGTTTATTCCTAACAATCTAAAAAAAGGGGTCCAAATCATACCGGATTGCTCAATCGTCAGATTATAAATCATTTTCTATAACCTTTGGCATCAAAGCACTCGGCATAATATAAAAGATTTTGTTTCAAAAATTAAAGATTTAAAAATACCCAGCAATGCTATCTTAATTTCAATGGATGTTCAAAGCATATAGCCTACATCTCCGCGCTATATAAGAAAGGCTTTTGACAGAAATCCTGACATTAGCCGCCCAGATAATGACCTATTAGACTTATTGGGAATATGTCTTAATAGAAATGACTTTACTTTCAATGAATAAGTTTATCTTCAGATATCTGTGATGGGTAAACGCTTTGCGCCGTCATATTCAAATAAGTTCATGGCAGAATGGGAACGAGAAACGTCTCCACTCTTGCCAATTACTTCCTCATTTTATTTAAGCTTTCTCGATTACATTTTTATAGTTTAGACTCAGACCATTGAAGTATTCTGGGACTATTTTGATATTCTCAATAATTACCACCCTTCAGTAAAACTAACAGCCAAAATTAGAGAAAACCGTATTGATTTACTTGATAAGACAGTATTCAAGGACAATGATTTACTACTTCCGGGAAATTAGATATCAAGGTG